GCTCCCTGTTTGCTTTTTATTTACCTGCTGAGGTCTAGTACATGAAACAATGTTTAAAAGACAAAAACCAAGGTTGAGCCATAAAGCAAAAGGTGTATTCTCTGTACTATAGACTTTCTTCTTGAGGGCGGTGCATGTTGTCAGGGTAAGCTATGGAACGTGCAGATGGTTTTTCAGGGCCCTGCAATTCCTTGCCCAGCTTTTAAGCTGGTGCATATGGTGCTTTATAATGCAATTTCTGAAGTAAAATTACCTTATGCTGCACCCCCTTCCCCTTATGAACACACGCACAATTTCAGAATAGTTATTGTAGCCTCTGGTTGAGCAGTTTCTCCAAGGTGTGGTGAAGTACCGGGATAAGCACGAGCTGAGAAATGCCACCGAAAGGGATCATTGTAGATGATGCACGTGAGGGGCCCTGCTCTGAGCACTGAATGATTCCCCAGCCTCCTGGCACAGCACGGCCGGGCGTCCTCTGGGCTCTGCGGGACATTCGGTGGCTCTGTCATGGACCCGTGTAGCCAAGTGTTTCTGAGTCTATGAAATCCTCTTGTCTTCGGTCATCATGCTTTGTCACTGTAAAACCAACAACAACAACAAAAAGCGTTTTTTTTAGTCTAATTTAAGGAGCTGCTTCTTTTATAGCACATAATATTTCGCTTTGTACTATATTTGATAGTTAAAGAATAATTTAGTCCGTAGGATAACTTTGTTGTATTTGTACTGTTCATGAATGTTACAAGAAAAGTGCTTTACTTTGTTGCCATCATTCTCTTGTACTGCTGTAAAATATTTTTTCTGCTTTATGGAAACTTAACACAATCCACATTTTCAGTACAGGGTTTTTTGTATGTATGGGTTTTTTTTGTTTGTTTTTTTGTTTGTTTTTTTTTTTTGTCAGTATTCTGAATGTTTACATCTGTTTGACATTAGCCATTCTATGCCTTCATAGGGCAGTATTACTCCTACAGTATAACAGCAATGTGAAATCCACTCATACTCCACATGCATGAGAAATACAGATTTATTGGGGAGATCCCTACCGTGCGCCGTGCGTAGATATTTTTTCTATCCACATTCAGTGATGTAAATACACTCCTTCAGTCCTCTACCAAAGAAAATATTATTCCCACGGGACAAGGTCGGAAAATGGTTCTCTGAATCTTCCGAAGGAGGTGTAGTTGAATTCAGCAGGATTGCTACAGTTCAATGCTGTTATGCGTCGCTGTGTTACCCAGCCCAACCCGGCTAGGGGAAACAAGCATCTTGGCAGTTTTTTTGTTTCAAGACAGTGTTTTGTTTAGAATTCAGGGATCGTGCTTTCTTTAATGGTGCTGGTTTTGTTTTTTGTTTCATTTTGTTTTTTAAGAAAACATTTTGTTGCCTCCAAAAGTGACCGCTCACAAAACCATAAATTAAATAAAATAATTTGTCTTCATACCTTCTCTCTTCTCCCTTTCCTTTTCCCCTTTTCTGTCCCTTGAAAATAACAACTTGAGCTTCAATATTAAACTATTCTGGAAAAAAAAAATAAAGAGATAAAATAACATTTGCCATTTGTTTATTTATTTTCCATTCAGTGCCTTAGGCAGGAGATCCTGCTTGTGCACATCCATTGTATGTACATAAGTCAGTGAAAGAGAAATGGGAGAGAAACCAGTCGGTCCTCTGGAAAGGATCTGTAAGTGACAGTGATGTAAGAATTAATCTGAACAGCATCTGATGTAACTCAAGCATTACATTAGTAAAATAAACTAGGTGTTGTGTATTAAGTTGTTGTAAGTAGAACAATTCATGGATGAAAGTAATTATCATTCTTTGGAGGGTTAATGCTGGTATATCTGAGTGTTTCCCCTCCATCTGCAACCCCATCCAGAATGGTTCTAGCAATTCTGCATTCAGATGTGCACCTCTGTTATTGCTCATCCACGTGGCAGAAGAAGTTTAAGGCCTGTAATGCCTATAAGAGGATCAGCCCGAACTGTACCTCTCAAAGCAGTTATTCTTTGAAGTCTGGCATGTTATTCTGTAGTAGAAATAGAGAAATTGGGTAGTTATTGCATAAGTATATATCTATATGTATGTGTATATATAACCCTACAGGTATAGTTTGGGCTGGTCCCCTTTCAGGCACTACAGGCCTTTAACTCTATCTATCTATATATATGAGTATATATAACCCTACTATATAACCTAACATATATATGTATGTATATAGAACTCTAACCCTATGTAGCGTTAGGGTTATATACTCATAGATAAATTTATAGTTTTCAACATTTTACCCCACAAAAACAGCTTTGAACACTGGCGGTTAAGGTGAAAGTGTTAGATTATAAGTGATAAATAACATTTTCCTATGCCTTCACAGAAATGCTTGGGCCAATCACCTTTTGTGCTGCCTCCTATCATTATTGTTTAAATTCTGGTAGCGAATGTCTATCTTGCTGTAGGAATCAGCAGCCCCTTCTGACAAAATTTGTGCAAATGCAGAATGAAGACATTGCCACCCACTTTTTTTTTTTCCATTTAAATATCCAATGCCCACATGGCAACCTCCTTCACCTGGGGCTGCCACTCAAAGAATTCAACTCCTTTAATTCCGCTTAGATATTTGCCTTTGTGTC